TTATTCGGATTCGCCGGATGACACCCCTTGACACCAATATGTCCAGCACCTGGTACCTTGGTAGGAGCCGCTTCTCGTAGCTGAGCGAGATAAGCATCGGGCTAGCCGAAACATACTCCGGGCTCCAGCCAAGCTTATCGGCAAAGAAGTGCAAGATACGCCTCACTTTGTCGTCCGATACAGACATGCAGTAGGGGTGCCTGACAAAGGCCAGCTTCACCAGCTCCTCGGTCCACCCCAAGCTGAGATAATTGTCGATCCTGCGCTTCCAGGTCACCGGGCTCAGTCTGGCAAACAGCCCAAAGGCGTAAGGGAAGATGCCGGAGGACGGGCTGACCCCGAGCTCTTTCATGGCAGCCAGGCTCTCGTTGAAGAAGGAGGACCTGTGAATGAGCGACCTGGGGTGCGTGGTGACCAGCTTGACGATGACAGCGTCCGTGGCGCCATGGTCACGGAGGATCTTGACCTTGGGGAGCAGGTCGGAGCGGACGTTGCCGTGGATGAGCTCAAAGGACTGCTTGACGGCGGAGCGCACGTTCTGGTCGGTGCCGAGGAGCTCCCGGAGGAGGAGGTAGTTGGGGCGGAGGCGGCCCTCGAGGCTGTAGCAGAGGGAGCGGTACGGGTTGGCGAGGATGGTCTTGCGGATGTGGTCGTCGGTGAGGCCCAGGTCCCGGCGGAAGAAGTCGAGCTTGGGCGCGAGGACGGCGTCGGCGCGGTAGTTGAGCATCTCGGGGGCGGCGGCCACGACGCGGGCGAGGTCGGCGCCCGCCAGGCCGAGGCCGCGGAAGAGGGCGAGGACGGCGTGCGCCCTCTTGGTGGAGCGCAGGTGGACGCGCCCGGCGATCTTGGCGACGGCGGGCTCCGAGAGGCCGCAGGAGCTGCGGAGGAAGTGGAGCGTGAGGGAGCACGGGTCCGCCGCGGCGTGGGAGACGCCGGCATGGCCGCCCAGCAGGTGTTTGAGGAAATGCGCGAGAGGGAGATGGCCGCACGAGACCGGCGATACGGGTAGGATGCCGCCGCCGGGGAGGAGGAGGCGGTGGCTGCGAAGCATCTGGCGGTCGGTCGCGGCGTGGGAGAGCGCCGGGAGCGGCGGCCGGGGAGGAGCGCGGCGCGGCGCGGCGGCTGCGCGGCCTCCTCTCTGTTTCTCTAGTCTATCTCAAATCTGTCAATCCACCGTGGCTGGGTCGATTCAGTATGGATGGGGGTAATTTGGACAAATCCTGGTCTATTTGGTTAGTTCTGAATATCAAAAAGGCCCCCGTGGCAAAAGGGGTGGGTGGAGAAGAGACCGCGTCTTTCCCTCTTGCCACCACAAATTGACTGATTTGCCCTATGCCCTTGATTCAATAGTTTAAAAAACCGAACCGAACCAGTGAGCCTGTCGTTTCAGGTTTTTACTGGTTGGACCGCCGGTTCCCCGGTTCATCGCCCGGTTGTTTACATAAAGTAATACTATATGTTCAGCAATATTTATATATGCTACTAATATAGTGTTAAGTAATGATCAAATAAAATTAATTCCCCATAATTATAAACAAAGTAGCATGGTCGAGTTGGTTATTGGCACATGAGCATGTAATTCCTGCTCCCTTCTGGGATTGAACCCCACTTCTTACAAATTTTGCACTAGTCATTTTCCTGTTCTTCTCAGGTTTATTCACCAGTTTTTCAGAAAACCGACCGATAGTCCAATTGCAGAACAGTCTTATATTAGCTTAAAAAGGCACCAAGGCCGCCGGTTCCCTTTTTTTCCAGTTCGACCGCCGGTCCGTCTGGTTTTTAGACTATACTTGATTCACTATAACATGTTATGGGTGGTGACTCCGCTCCTCCTAGCGAGGTTGTTGCTCCCCTCTCCCATCGATTGCAACGTGTCCTGTGGTGGCGGCACTTCAATGGTGACGATGAATACTTGATTCACTATAACATGTTACGGGTGGTGACTTCGCTCCTCCTAGCGAGGTTATTGCTCCCCTCTCCCATCGATTGCAACGTGTCCTGTGGCGGCGGCATTTCAATGGTGACGATGACGCCCTAGCGCTAGACCCACCTCAGTCGCTCTTTTGTTGCTCTTGGCGATGGGTCTAGGGTTGTAGGCATCGTGGTGAAGTTTGTGAAGATTGCTTCAGGAGGATTGTCGACGGTTGATGTCTTGGTTGACGGCAGTGTTGGAAAGTGGAGATGTTGGTTATGCCGAAACTGTGCAGGCGGCAATGAAAGGCGGATCAAGCACATTTCTTCGACAAGGGTATCAAGGTATTTCCCTCTTGTCACGCCAAATTGATTGATTTGCCCTTGATTCCATAGCTTAAAAAACCGAACCGAAGATTGAACCGGTGAGCCTATCGGTTCAAGTTTACCGGTCGATCGACCATCGGTTCACCAGTTCATCGGCAGGTTTTTTTTACCTAAAATAATACTATAAGTTTAGTAATATTTATATATGCCAATATAGTGTTAAATGATGGTCAAATAAAATTACTTACTCATATTTGAAAACAAAGTAGCATGGTCGAGTTGGTTATTGGGCCATGAGCACGTAATTCCTGCTCACACGCGTCCTAGGATTGAACCCCACTTCTTCCAAATTCGGCATTAATCATTTTTCTGTTTTTCTTCGATTTATTCACCATTTTTTTTCCAGAAAATAGGTTGATTTTATCGGTCTTCTCTGCTCCAATTGCAGAATGGTCTTATGAGCTTGAAAAACCGTCAGGGCCGCCTGTTTCGGTTTTTTCAGTCCGACTGTCGGTCCCGTTCGTTTCTTTAACTATGCTTGATCGCTATAACATGTTATGGGTTGTAACTCCACTCCTCCTAGCGAGGCTGTTGCCCCCCTCTCCCACCGTTTGCAACGTGTCCTGCGGCGGCATTTCAATTTCAACGACGATGCCTTGGCGCTAGACCCACCGTAGTCGTGAGAGGAGTTTGGTGAGTTTATCTTTTGTTGTTCTTCTTGGGCGATGGATCTAGGGTTGTCGACATTGTGGTGAAGTTTGTGAAGATTGCTTCAGGGGTATTTTCGAGGGTTGTTGTCTTGGTTGACAATGGTGTTTGAAGGTGGAGATGTTCGTTATGCCGAAACTGTGCAAGCAGCAATGGAAGGTGAATCAAGCACATTCCTTGGACAAGGTCAGAGCGGGGCCGACTACAATCCCGATCAAAGCGTTACTTCACGTTATTGATGGTCATCCATGGACTTGGTTGTTTCTTTTTCTTTTTCTTGGGTGGTTTCTACAAACTTCCAACACATGTTATTGATGGTCATCTTCAATCACTTCACGTGATGCACTATCAACGATTTTATGTCACTGCTTAAATTTTTGGAGCATTATTTTCCACAAAATAGTACTACTAGGTGTACAACTATTATTTTGTACTACTCTATCCCATAATATAAAAATATTTTTTAAGCTAAAACAGTTTGAAAACATTCTTATATCATAGGACAGAGGGAGTAGCAACTAATAGTTTCGACTTGAAGCATAATAATATCACTCTGCTTAGTACTACTGCGGACCGTCTCATTCCGCCTGTCAGTACTTTTATTTTTCATTACGCATCTTTTTTCTTCTAACGTTATACACATCCATTCCTACTGGAACAAGAAGAGAGGCATTTCCAACCGTTTATTCAACAGCCAGCCGGCGACTCTCTCTTCTGCTAAGCCAATGAAAAGCCAGCAACGCTGGATCTTTCAAAAAAAAAACAGCCAGCCGGCGAGTGAGACTGCCTGTGGGGCCCAATCAATTTGGACACGAGCAGAAGATAACCCCAGCACTCCAGCACTGGACAGGCAAAGAACACTGACTACACATAACCCGAAGAGGTAATTACTTACCATCCCTCCTTTGAACAGCTCAAAAACCTACAGGCCGATCCAGTCCAGGTCATTCAGGTTCAGGCATCTCTCCGCGGCCGAACGAAACTTGATGCTGACATCTGCATCAGTTTCACAAGGCAAACACAACGAAATCTTACTAATATGGAACTTGGTTGGACAATCGCGACAAAGTCGAGCATATTGCTTGCTCTACATTGTGTTCTTGCTGCCAGCTACAGCAGCGATGGGTAGAGTTTCAGTTTCAAGGTCGTTGAATTCGGCGTCTCCTGATTTCAGTCAAGGAATCATCATCATCCCGTGAGCCTGCCTGGAGTTTCTGGTTTGAAATGCACTAGGTGTAAAGGTAACTAGGATGAAAGATCCCAGCTTCCAGAGCTATTATTAACTGAACTCAAGGTACGACCGAATGATCAAATTTCAGACCAATTGTTTTCAGAGTACCAGGAAAGGAAAGTAACCACCACAGGCTCTAGGCCTAGGTGTGTATGAATGACCTAGCAGTTTAATGAGCTTCAGTTACACAAAAACGAAGCCGGTTTCAGAGCAATTAGTTACTTTGGCTGATACCTCTTATTCCCCATTGAAGGCAGAATTTACCGACTCCGAAATTTATACGGGTGCAAGCTCAGAAGTCTTACATCCAAAATTTGTGCGATGTGCTCTCCTTGAGTAATTTGATGCAGGAGACAAGCAAAAGTTGTAGTGATCAGCCCTGGTGATTGGTGAAGATCTCCATTGTCTATCTTTGCTCTGCATCTAGTATATGGTTTAGGGATTCTGAAAAGAAACAAAAAGAAAATCTAGGCAAAACAGAGCAGCACAATGCTCATCAACAGTTAATTTCTGGGCATCAAGGGAATATATATCCTTCTCTCCTTAATACCAAACTCAACATAGTAACATGTTAGGCTAACGACACCATAAGCTTCACGGTGACATCAAGTGCTTACACCTTCACAGAAACCCCACCTACGTACACAGGGTTGCGAGTGACTCTTGTTACCAGCCCAGAAACTACAACTGTCCATTCATTTTACACCCTGCATTGTACCAAAATGACCCCACGCATGCTAAATTAGCACTTCAAAGTTCAAACTCAACCTCTACCGAGTCTGACTTCTCACTAACACCACCACCAGCCAAGGACTGATTCATCTCATTGACCACCAGGAGGACGGATCTGCAGAACAAGGGTGCACGAACAAGAGATCTCTTCAGCCAGGGGGGCGCCGCCCTGGTCAGAGAGCTGCTGATGGTCCGGGAGAATGCACAACTCAGAGTAGATCCACGCTTTGATATCGTCAATGGTCTGTCCGGGCTTAAACGCGCGATCAATGACCTCCTTCCCGTTCACCGTCCTGACAAATATGCGCATCCCACCTCTCTGCCTCGTGACGCCGCGCAACACAACATGAAGGGTAGATGCATGTTGCACGTCGTAGTCAGCCAAGGTGCGGCCATCCTCCAGCACATTCCCAGCAAAGATGAGAGTCTGTCTGTCTGGGGGAACGCCGGTTTCAGCGGAAACCTTTACCTTCACACTGTATATGGTATCTTCTCCCTCAGCCACAGCAGTCATGATCTTGTCAGTCAGTCCCCTGATAATGATGTGCATGTGCATCCCACTTCTTTGACACGTGAGGCCGTGGAACACCACAAGATGAATGGTACATTCGTTGTGCACATTGTAGTCAGCCAAGGTGCGGCCATCCTCCAGCTGCTTCCCAGCAAAGATGAGACGCTGTCTGCCTGGGGGGATGCCGGTTTCATCAAAAATCTTTGCCTTCACACTGTATAGACTATCTTCTCCCTCAACATCAATAGCCATGATCTTGCCAGTCAGTGTCTTGACAAAAATGTGCATCCCATCTCTCTGACACGCCAAGCGGAACACAATATGAAGTGTAGATTCATTTTGCACGTTGTAGTCAGCCAAGGTGCAGCCATCCTCCAGCTCGTTCCCAGCAAAGATGAGACGCTGTCTGCCTGGGCAAATGCCGGTTTCATCGTAAACCTTTGCCTTCACAATATATATGCTATCTTCTCCCCCAACCTCAATAGTCATGATCTTGTTAGCCAGTGTCTTGACAAAGATATGCATCCCTCGGGGGACAAGGTCAAGGGTGAGCGTGGACTCTTCCTCGATGTTGTAGTACTCCAGGGTGCCGCTGTCCATCAGCAGCTCACTGCCAAACATGAGTCTCTGCTGGCCTTCAGGGATGCCCTCCTTGTCTCGAATCTTATCCTTGACATCATAGATCGTATCTGATCCCATGACATCAAGAGTGATAGTCTTTAAACAGTGGATCTTTCTTTTTTTGCGAAAATTTGAACAGTTTATTTTGACAAAGATCTGCATCTGTTGAACAAGCGCACAAAACATTAGCATCTTAGACACAAGGCTTTCATTAAAGACACCAAACTGTAAATGAAAAGAATAGTAGCAATTCCAACAGATAGTAGAACTAAAAACAGAAATCTGCACATTAACCGCAACAAACCATCAAGTTCCACGATGATGATAGTTGGTGTTGCACAGGGTAATACATCTTGTTAAGATCAGAAGGACTAGCAAATTATTGATAAATATAAACATCAGGGCTGTTTTGGGCTATGTTGTCAGTCATTCATAGATACACAACAATGTTTTGGGAAAATCAAGTATCTTACACAAAGTTGACAGATATTGTGATATTATAGTACATAATACTTGAGAATCCTACAGATTAGTCCTTTTCCTTCTTTTAAATATAAATCAAACGAGAACAAGTTTGATATTCTCCATCTAACCGGTCATAAGATCTGACAAGTCTAATGAGATCAACCCCATCTATGATGCATTACCCTTCAAATTAATCCATGGATTGGAAATACAAAAAAAACTACCAGACAAATGCATTCAAGATCAAACGTTATATGCAGGTAGACCCTACTAGAGACTGAGACCAAACCAACAGCTGTATACGATTCAGGATACTGACCTTTATATCTTTGGCCAGCAAAATGTCACAATGGTGTAAATTAAATGATTGACTGGCCAGAAACAAGTATGGGGCAATGTTAACTTGTTAAGTGCTGATCAGGAGCAGGAAGACCTTCAAGTTGCTATATGATCATATAAGGCTGATCACGACCACAGTTCTCATGCAAGGTTAATTCATCAGGGAGTCTGTCAGCAATATTGGATCCACTCGGATGACAAAAGTGAAAGAAACAGCTATCTTATAAGGAATATGAACACTTCGATCCACTCGATTTCTAGAGAAGATGACACAGCAAAATTGTTTACAGCAAAATCATCTAGATCTCGAGGAGATAAGTATCACATATGCTGAATCTGGGATGGATCAGGCAAAGATGGAGCAGTACGTGAGAAAAGGAGATTGAAAGAGAGACTCACCGTGCACTGTTCAAGATCCATCTCATTAGTATCCTCACTAGTCACCTGCTACCAAACAGACCCTGGTCTATTAGCACTCCCCCAGAAGAGGATTATCCTATGTAGACATCAGATATCATGGAAATCAAACCTAACCCCTAATTAATGGTTTTTTTTTCCAGGAACCTTCTTTAGGTTGTATCATGCATTATTAATTAACAAAAAAACCATGGGCACAGATCAATGACTAAGAAAATCATGGCATACAAAAGCTGGACAGATTGTTTTTCAGATGTGGAACTGATGTTTCAGTGAGTACCTTGAGTTGAGAGTTATCGGGGTCAGAGAGAGCTTCACAGGCTTCGGAATCCACCAAGTCCCTCTTTTGAAGTTCTACGTTGAACACAAAAGGAATGATATCAGTAGCAGCATAATTCGCCAGAATTGGGCGCTTTGTTCTAGAAGTTAAACTCTCCTAATGGACAACCAAATTGCTGTTGAGCACATCATAGAGCTACATAGATAACTTCCTGACCCAAATGGAGGGGCCAAAATGGGGAAATGATGCCAATTTTCCAACCCAGATCATTCAAAGCAAGCAACTTTTTTGTGGCCTGAGAAGAAGAGGAGAGATTACCGGCAAGCTTGGGATTAGCACCTGGAGGCAGCTCCGCGTAGGCCGCCTTCCACCTCTCCCTGCTGGCCTCCGCCTTCAATCGCAAGCACATGAGCCAGCATCAGGCGAGAACAAGCCATGATTATTTACGAAACCCCCAAATTGACAGAAACCCTAGAGGGAACCCGCGGTCCAGCGAATCACCTGGAGGAGGCGGGCACGGAGGCTCTTCTCGCGGGCTTCCGACAGCCTGTTGATTTCCTCCAGGCGCGCGCGGTCGGCGGCCAGCTCCTCGACCTGCGGCAGCAACCCCATGAGCCGGTCGTAGACGCGGCGCCACTCCGCGGAGGGGAACTCAAGCGGCGCCGCCCCCGGACCGCCGCCGCTCATGGAGACGACGGATGGTCTTTTTCCCCCTCGCTTTCGTGTGGTGGCAGTGACCCTGGAGCGAGAGCAGAGCAGATCAATGCGTGTGGCCGTGTGGGCGAGACTGGGGTCGACGGGAAGCTCGTGGAGTGGGGAATCCGATGGTGTGGTAAGCGCGAGGAGGGGATTTGGGTTTCTCTCTGAGACAAGCAAGCTCGTCATCCGTCCATGGCGGCAGGAGCGAGGGAGGGTTACTGGTGCGTGGAGTGGGGGAGTGTTGGGGTTTGGGGGTGGAACGAAGCGGAAGGGTGGGGAAGAAACCTCTTTGACTGATTCGGCTCTGTATATCCCGCCGCCGCCGACGGCTTTTAGGGTGCGTTTGGGAGCCAAAGTATTTTTGTAAGAATACTATGGTTTTTGAAAAAACCTTGGTATTCAATACTTTGAGTCGTTTGGATGAAAAAATACTATAGTTTAATAAATCATAATATCTTTAAAACTGTGGTATTTTTATAGTATATGAAAAAGAGGCCCAGACCTCTTTTTAAAAAACTGAGAAATGTTGGCTGGGTTGTCTCTTTGTGTCCATCTTCTTCTGGCCATCGACGCATGTGACACCTAGTGCCGGCTGAAAACACATGTCAACTTGCAGTGCATGTCGTAACTAGCTCTGTCTTTGATTGATTACAAGAGATAACTCTAATCCTTCCTAGCATCTACTAGGAGAGAACATGCCCGTATAAAGCTACGGTGGCGATTAGCACAAGCTGATCGATGAGTGTAGTTGCGTATGCATGCGACAAACGTAACAATCTGTGCAAACCAAAGAAAACTGAAAAAAGCTGCCAGTTGCCAAACACCTCGGCGGTATTATCGAAACTGAGAAAATCTATGTTTTTCATAAACTTGAGTATTTGTTGCCCATCTATTGAAATATTGAGGTTCTGAAATACTATGGTTTTAAAAAAATGGTGATGCCAAACTAGGCCTTAGCCTCTTTTTGGTTTGTAGGATAGGAATTTTATAGCAATGAAAAAATCATATGAAGTGAGATTAATACCTGTAGAGAAAGAAATGCCATTTGATGTATATGATAGGATTTTTTTTCATTGAGTCTAGGCTAATGTTTTTTTCTTCAAAATATGAAGGATTGATTTCTGTTCTACATAGGAATAGGAATCCATTCCTACAAACCAAAGGGCTTCAAAGAAATTTTTTCTTTGCAAATCCTATTCTATAGAATTCTTACAAAAATCCTACAGACCAAAAGAGGCCTTAACATTTTCAGATTGTTTTCTTGAGGGGCACGTTTTCAGATTTTTTTTAGGGGGCCGGAACAAAGGCGCTACATTTTTCTCGGCCCGTAAAAAAATATACAATGACCGGAAGAATGCACAAATCAAGCAACAACATTATTGTTGTGAAGATCATTGTCACCATCACCAGCCATAGCAACTCGATCATCCTCTTCATCCACATTGACTGAAGAATGAGCATCATCATCTTCACTGGCTGAAGCAACAACATGAACTTCATTTGCCGAAGGACCACCACCACCATTGCCAAAAGCTTCACCACCTCCACCTCCACCTCCACCTCAATTGCCGAAAGCTCCACTACCTCCAAAAACCTCACCACCACCATCATCAATGTCGAAGCCAACACCACCTCCAACC